ATACTCATCATATACAAAAGAACGCAGTCAGCCATTCACAGAGGCCCACAACCGCAATGAGGTGCTCAGTGAACGAGGCCCGGGTGTTGGATGGGATTTTCTGATTTTTTAAGACACCCGGAATTCTCCGTCGCACTGCCATTCCCTCCATTTGCCATGACATGTAAGCCAGCCGGGGCGCCCAGGGGCCCGCCAGGCGGGGTCATCCACAGACAGCAAACCCCCCACTCTCGCCAGCGTGGCGCAGGCTGCGTGAGATCTTCAAAGAGCAATTTTGGAAAACTTACAAAAAGGGGACTTGTTTATCCGATGGAGACAGTGGTGGGTCCCGCGGATCTGCCTCCGCCACAGAGGGTCCTTCCAGAAACCTGTTGAAAAAACGAAATCACTCACACGGTGCAGAACGCAGCCTGGCCGCTTTTTCCCCTTCAGCCAAGGAATCCAAATCTACTTTTGAGGCAATGGCTGAAAAGCCTTCACAGTCCCCCCCACCCTCGGCTTTTGCTTTCTTGCGCGCGCTCTCTCTCTTTCCTTCCTGAAAAAAAAAAAAAAAAGAAAGAAAGAAAAGAAATACTGTGTCATGAGGGAAAGGGCTTTGCGGTTTGTAGAGAAATAAAACACTTCTAAGAGGGGACGGCGACGTGACTTTGAACTTGGCTCAGCTCCTCTGTGTCCTGCGGAGAGAGGAGAGCTGGAGCGGAGAAAGAATAGCCAGGAGGGCCCAGCCTGCGGGGTCTCCGGCGGGAATTCAGGCGTCTGCCCCACTACCCCGCCGCGCGCGGCCCGCGGAATCCGGCGCAAAAGGGGACCCAGCCGCGCCCACCCCAAGTGCGGGCTGCGAAAGAGGAATCAAAACGAAAGGAGAGAATGGGGCAAGGCAGAGAGGGACAGAGCTGTGGGGAGGGGGCGAGAAAGCGGGAAAGGAGGAAAACTTGAAATCTGGTGGCTCGAAAGAAATAAAGGAAGTGAGGTTTTGGATGTGCAAAACGGCTATTCGCACGACGAACCTCTAATAAAACGTTTCTTTGGGCAATATTTTTGGAGCGAGCTTTTCCAGTTATTCTCTCCCTCACCCCATAGACATTGATGAGTAAAGTAAACAAGTGTGAAAGGCTGTGCAGTGGGCGATTTTTTGACTTCCTGTAGCAGGGGCAGCTTTTCTGACGGGAGGTTTCTCTCTCTCTCCTCTCCGTCTCAATCTCAGGTTCCTCTCTGTTTAGGGGAGCAGTTCGGCATGTGCCTCCCCCATCCCTCTTTGTGCAGAGTGTGGTGTGTGGGAAAGAAGCGCATTTCCGCCTGGTAGGGAAGGCGAGCATCTCCAGCTACCAGGCAAACTCCCGGCTTTCCGACTAGCTGCTCCGGCCTGGCCTCGCTTCTGACTCCTCCAGCGCTCGGTGGGCGCGCGGATGGGGACAGAGCGGGAGCACAGCGCCCCTAATGACAGGGGCTGCGGGGGGCTCCGACCTTGAGACCCACGAAAGCCGGGAGAGGCTGCCTGGGCCGGTGCTGGAGACCCTGGGTTCTGCCAGCAATAGCGAGCGAGAGTGGTCTTCCCGCGTTTTTGCCGGATTCATTTCAACATGAAAAATTTGAAATGCATGTTGATTATTTTCTCTTACTGGAATTTTATTTCAATTCCCAGCAATTTGTAAATAAAAGCAGTTCTCCTCAGACCTTGCATTCACACCTTCGCCGCCTCAGGGCCCGCGGTTGCCTCTCCCGTTCCCTCGGAAGCGCAAGCTTTCCCTCGCGGGACAGGAAATGTCTGCAGCGGTCAACCTGGGCCCGAGGTGGGGGGGTGGGGGGTGGGCGGCCAGAGTCCCCTGGGCCGAAGGCCAGGGCGGGCACCGCAAGGGGAGGAGCCTCGCGGCCCCACCACCATGGGGGTAGGGGGAGTCGCCCACTCCTGGAGGAGTTATAAAGATCTTCTCGAAGCCCTACCAGCCTGGAGATTTCTTCTCCGGAGGCCCTGAGCCTGACCCGCGGCCCAACTCCAACCTGACTGAGCCTCGCTGGGCCTCGCGCCTCGGGCGTCCCCACACTTCCCACCCCACCGTGGCAGCGGCCTGGGCTTCTGGGCGTCCACCCCGAGGGTGACATTGTCTATAAACGAATTCCAAACGCTGATGCCCAGTGTTTACTGCTGTGATCGGAGCAGGGCGCAGGCCGGGGGAGCGGAGCAGCGGGTGGGGGCCACGGCCCAGGAGGGGGCCGGTGTCTGAGTGGGTGTCCACAGAGCGGGAGGAACGGGCGTGTCTGGCTTTATCTAGGCCCATCATCCAGCACCTGTGTTTTCGAGACCACAGAGCAAGTTTACAAAATGGGGAGAAAGGAGATTGGGAGAGTGCCCACCGATCAAGACCTCGGCGCCCGGGCCGC